AAAATGTTTTTCCGAATATTAATCATTCCGATTTCTGAACAACGCCCGCCTTGTTCATCGATCGTTTAAAGGGATGAACATATAAAGAGTGTGCTTTGACTACTTTTACGTATATATACCGCGTCTCGAGCGAGCGTGAAAGTGCAACAACCGACACTCGTCGTCGTCGTCGTCGTCGTCGCCTTCGGTGAAATGCAAAAGTGACACGCTTGTAATATCGATGCGCGCGGCCTCATATTTGCCGAACACGATTGACAAAGACATATCATCGATGTATACTCGCACTCTCTCTCTCTCTCGCTTTTAATTTCGTCGCAGCCGTGCATGATCGTGTGTAAACTATAATACAACTTTCCCTCGGTCATCTTTACTTTTCTCTCTATCTCCTTTTTCCTTTTATCATTTTTTGTTGCTCGTTACTGAATAGTACCACATGCATACCTGCCGCGCAGCGTTGCAGTTACGGTGCGGGTATGTGTGTGTGTGTGTGGGTACCTTATAAAATACACAGCATGGAAAACGGGCGCCGCATAGCTCTCTGTATATACATCCGAGAGAGGCGGGCGGGCGGACGGTGTGTGTGCAGGCTGTGTAAAGGCATGCAACCTTGACAATGGACGCGGCTATAATAATCGACTTTATATGTACGGAGAGAGAGACGCGCATCCTCGGCTGCTGCTGCTGCAATGTTTTTTTTAACGAAGCGCGACTCGGCTTTTAATATGTAGGTATATGCTATCCGCGTGTGTGCACGGAGTTGTGCGGCTGAAAAATTCATACAATTTATACATAGCCGCTTCGTCGATATAGCTATATAACACGAGCGAATTAGCGAATCCAAAAGTACAATATAGGATTGTACTCACTACCATGGATGAATCATCGGTAAACGATATATATCCGCAGCGATCGAAAAATGAAATACCACGCGCGACGCGATCGCTGCTGCACACACCCAACATCGCATACTTGGCATACGCACGCGCGCGCGTCTCATTCAGAAACAATAAAACTCCAGGAAGAGTTCCAGGAAATAATGCGATAATGCAGGTATATGCGTGTGTGTGTGTGTGTGTGTGTGTGTGTGTGTGTGTGTGGCGTGTAATTGCGCGCAGACACCCTCTCTCTCTCTCTCTAGTATATATTTATATATAGACACAACGCGCACTGTACACGAACGCGGGCGAGCATTTTTTTTCATTCCGCGAGCTGCAACGAGACTTTTGTGTGTGCGCGCGCGGATCCATATGCGCGCGCGAGCGCGTGCATACGGTAGCAGAGTCGGTGGTATATATACGTACACATACAGATAGTGCACATAGCGGAACCAGCGCGTATACGGTTATATTATATGTATGTAGAGAGTGAGTACTGTGCTGCACTTATATGCACACGCACATACATACACACGTGAAAAGAGAGAGAGGAAAGCGGAAGTACCTCGACCGCCGTGGAGTATATTGTGCACACACATATACACGAGTGATATGTATTATAGGATCGATGATACCGTACCTATGTGTGTACATAGACACAAAATGTGCCAAAGATCGATACATCATCATCATTATTATTACGCGCGAAATTGCTCGCGCGTCGAGTCGAGTGTAAAGAACAAAAAAAAAAAGGTGTGCACACATAATAATGCTCGTGTCTCTCTCTCTCTCTCTCTACACTCTACTTTATGTATCGGTTACATCGTCGCATCTTCTCTCACTATTCCTGCTATCTATATAAGGGCGTCAAATATCGCTGAGCTTTCGAGCGAGCTCCGCGCTCGACTGGCTATATACCACCACACTGACGCGACGATATTTTCAAGTGCACGTAATCGTGAGAAAGACAAGATATTATACACATATAGAGAGAGAGAGAGAGAGATTATGTATGTGATCCTCGCGCAGTGCAAAACTCTCGAGTTCGCGCGGCTTCCAAGTTTGATTGGTATATAGAGTGTCACAGCAGTGGAGTTGCAAGAGCTGCACATTTTCATATACGACGATGCTCGCGCGTGGTTAATACTCGGGTCCATCCGCAAGTTCGCCTTTGTATCACGGGCATCGTCTATGTGAAATCCACCCCCGCCCACACACCCGTGTGCAAAGTTCATTAAACCTTTGGCTCGTATAATACTGTGCTGTGTGCATCATGCATACAAGCCGGTATATATCTTCCTCGTGTACTCGACAGCACGAAATTACTCATATATACTGCACACACACACAGACAGACACGGTAGCAGCGAGGAGCTTCTGCACCTTTGCAACGTGTCCGAGATTTGAATAATTTTTCACTTACATCGTGCGCCAAATATAATATGCATATATGTACGTGATCTGTATTTCACAGGGCGTGTTGCGCTCTGCCAGAGCGAGAGGGATTATATTATATCGGTATGATGATTCCGCAGGAGATGAACCGAGCCCTTGTCGACTCGAGCGACGAACTGATATCATTATAAACACATACACACATGAGCAGAGAGGATTTTCGAATGAATAATGCAGAGACGTCGGTTTCGTTTTTATTTTTCATTTTTCAAGGTGCGACGTACACGCGCACGATGACGATGATGTTGTTTGGAATATTTCGCGCCGTTCGCGATGAAAATATTCGAGTCTTCGTCATCTTCGTTTTTCACTTATAAATTAACAAACGAGTCGAGAAAATTTCGATTCGATCGGAACAGTGAAAATTTAATAATTTCTCTTTCATCGATTCTTCTCTCGTCTATATGATACATCGTTTCTTCCATTACTCGTCGCTCGATGATAAATTCAACGGCGCGCGACTATCAACGCATTCCATCTAATTTTAAAAGCTTTTCTTATAAAGCAAGAGATCCTACTATATACTCGCATCGTCGTCGGCGAATAAAATTCTCAACAGCTTTTTACCGTGCTTCGCGACATCTACACTCGTCGAAATTAAACATCGATCCTCGTGTACCACTACTACGACTAATCTCTTTTGCCGTCAGTTGGTAAGTAAGTTTTCTGCGCAAAAATAATGTGCAGCGCGGGCGCGCGCGCGCGCGCAAGTACATAATATACGCGATCTTCTCCCGGCTGCAGCAGCCCCGGGGAGGATCGTTTTACGACGAGGCGTTTTATAACTCTCTCTCTCTCTCTTGAACCATTGCCAGAAAACGAGAAAAGGGCCGTGAGAGAGAGAGAGAGCGAAGTAAAGAGACGTGTAATTCTTTTTTTTTTCTCTCATCTTGCCTCCGAAAAACGTATGTGCGAGTTAAAGCTAGATTGTGTGTACATTCGAAGTTTTATGGAGCAGCAGCGGCGCACGCAGAGAGAAGAGAGAGAGAGAGGAGCTCTCAAGTACTATCGTATAACTAAAGCGTTTCTAACCGAAGGTAAGATTAGCCGTGGTGGTGGTGGTGGTTGGCTTTTGCTGCGCTGAAAAGCTCCGCTTTCATCTCTCTCTCTCTCTCTCTCTTGCCCGCTCGCGCGCCGTGCGCGGATAAAAGGCCAAACGAGAAAAGAAAAACGTCTCTTTGTCCTGGACGCAGAGAGGAAAGAAAAAAGAAAAGGAAGAAAATGTCCTTCTTTCTTCATCCTCCTCTCTGTGCGCTGCTGCCATAAATAGCACAGTAGCTTTTGTACAATACACGTATATAGATCTCTCTTCGCCAGGCTCTTACCTTATAATAGGCTCGGGATAGTCGTGCTCTTCATTGACGGCGGACGATGTGGAGCCGCGGGGCGATCTCGGGCCGCCTTCCGGCTCGCCGATCAGCACCTCGGTGCGGCCATTCTGGAATGGACTGCTCGCCCTGCGCTCGGCATTGCGCACGCCGCCGACGACTTGCAGCACCGGCGAGAACTGCAGCGAGAAAAGGTCAAAATATCGATACACGATGCATATCGAAATGAATCATATGTCAAGGGACGATCCTTTACCACCAAGTCGGGATCCTCGAGGGAGCTCGTCTGCTTTCTCAGCTGATTGGCACGCGGGTCCTGCGTCGAGTCCTTGACGATGCCCTGATTGTTGACCGTGCCGTTGCTCAACTTCGTCACGTAGGCAGTGGTCGTCGACCCCTCTCTGTGACAAAAGATGCGCGAAAAAATTTAAATCTCGTTAATTTGCACTATTATTATACGAATACCGATATGTATACGAAACGACGACGCACTCGTGATCCCGCAGTTCTCGCGCGCGAAAAAAAAAAACAACGAGGTCGTTACGTCAGACTATAATGCACACATACACACACGGTGTATAGTAATATGCGAACGCTTATATCTTTTGCAATAATCAAGTGCACGGGGGCCTGCAGAGCTGTCTGTCTGTCTGTTTCGTAAGATCTCTCTTTCAATTTTTTTCTTTTCTTCTTCTTTTTTTTTCGGCTCGAACTCGACCTTGCACGCCTCGCGTATACGTAGTGCAATCGCCCTTGATAGCATTATATCGTACGTAACGTAACGTAACGTAACGCGCGTACGTGCACTTACATCGATTATCGGTACTTATCGTTTCGGCAAAAAATAAAAAAAAAAAAATGATAATCATCCACGCGCCACTCGTTAATGTTGGCCGCGCGCGTAACTATACGACGTAACGCCGAGATATCAAAAGATGAATTTCGTGCTTCTACATATACGTATGTATACGCGCACGAGCTGCCGAGGAAAAAAATGGTTAAACTTTGCAAAAGCGCGCGCGCGACGTACGCCCGGGTATTTATCAAGCCCGCGACTCGCGCGCCAGGAATAATGGAGATAAATGTTTTTTTCCTGTCCTATGTGCTGTGCCGCGCGTATATTATACCGAGTCGCCTGAGCGAGCTCTATCTATATATCGAAGCAGCGCACGAAGGAAGAAAAGTTACACGGCGTGCGGTGTAATATAAATGTGTTATTTATATATGTGTACTCACTTGTCGGCGAGAGTCACGGTGATCTGACTGCTCGTTACATCCTTATCCGTGGCCTCTTCGCTCGTCGACGCTATGCTGCCCTCGGTTATCTATATGCGTGAACGACAGAAAGGAAGAAAAAAATTATTGACACGATTACGTAAAGGCTTCTTCTCTATAGTCGCGCGACGACGACGATGAGTCGGAAATAGTAGGTGCTTTTTTTGCGCGCACGTTTCGCAGTATGTAAACATTAAAAAAAAAAAAAAATCATCCAAGGCCTCCGCTGTACGGAGCTTTTCAGACGCACACACACGCTCAGTCATTACTCTCGTAGCGGCGAGCGCGTCGGGTAATAATTCAAACATCGCGTATATGTCAGTCGGTCGGTGCTACAGAGAGACGATAATATGGAAAATCGTAATTAAACGGAGAGCTGTGCGCGAGTCTAGGAGAGCCGTGTGCATTAAACGCGCGGATGAATGGAAGGATGGGGGAGGGAGGGAGTGTAATTAGAGCCTTTTCACGGACAAGACAATCGATCATAATCGCGCGGAGCTCTCCTTTACGTAAAACATAGCGTACGCGCGTACACGTACGTACGGTACGTTGATATAGAGGCAAACGCAAAAGGATTAGATTATATACGTTTCGATTTGTCCGTATGTGTGCGTGTAGTTTGATATAGACCGAGCGCGATTAATTTTACAATGTATACAATTGTATACCTGTATATGTTATGACTCGGTCGGTGGTTGAAACGCAGTCTCGAATAGCATTTTCGAAGGCTATTTACACACAGACGCACACACACACACACACAGTGAACTAGTAAAGAGAGTGGAAAAAAGGAGAGAGAATCTCGAGTGATGAACAGCTCCCAGAGCAAACAGACGCGCACACCCACACACGGACATAGTGTATTTTTGTGTGCGTGTGTATGTACGTGTGCCGGCTTCGAGTGAAATTAAACCGAGCGAATAAATTGCACATGCACTTTTAGCTTAAATAATATTACGCTCGGTTATAAATTCGGGCCCTGCTTTTTCGGGTGGGTGCAGGGGATAAATTATAAAGGCACCGAGGGGCAGCACCTGCACAACGGCGCGGGGAGATCTTTAGTACCTGCACGTCGAAGAAATCAATTAAACCAGGTTGTGCATAGCAGCGGGATAGGTATATCGTTGTATATATATAGGAACGTGTATCGTTACATCGTAAATAAAAGACGCTCGCGCTTGGCTGGTGGTGGTGTGTTTCTGGTAAATACCGAGGGATTTAGCCCGCGTATAGTATAAAGTAATCCAGCTAAATTCACTTCGCTGTACACGTATAGAGTATACCCGAAATATAGCAGCAGCAGCAACAATAACAATTGCGGCGCCTCCGTCTTTTGTTGCATTGTGTGTGTGTGTGTATTGTTGTTGTTGTTGTTGTTGTTTTATAATTCAATCGATGGGTATAGTTCATATACACACACACACATATATACCACGGCTACCACTGTTTTTCACTATATCGGGGCGTACGGGGAAAATTAAAACGATAACATTCGACGATATTTCACCCGCGGGGGGGGGGGGGGNGGGGGGGGGGGGGGGGGGGGGGGGGGGGGGGGGTCGTGTGCTGTATGTATACTGTAATAGTGCGTCTGTGTGTGTGTATATGCAACACATCCGCTCATTGTTATCGCGAAAGAGACCTCCGACGTCTCTCTCTCTCTCTCTGTACTCTACGTTAATACGCTACGAAGCGCACAAGTTTTCAGCGACGCGGTACAACTGTATATTATATATACCTGCCGGGCTTCGATATCTACGCGTATTATATATTATTGTGAATTTCGATGTGTGTTTCTCTACGTACGTACGTATACGTTTATGCATTTAGCGAGTTTGTATCTGATATTAGAATTTGCGCGAATTACGTATTCGATTCTCGCTGCTGCTTCTATGGCTTTGAGCTGTATAATTCGTGTACAGAGGATAGAGAGAGAGAGGGATGCGAGGAGAGGGACTTGATTAAGTAGTCCAGTCAAATTAGACTCACTCAATGCTATTTCTGAAAAAATTAGTGACAGGACCGAACCGTATGAGATATGTTGGGTCTTGATGAGTACAACGAGTACCTTTAGCTGCGTAACTTTATGAGTTGCCGTTGGGGGTAGGGGGATGTTTTAGAAGGGTGGAAAAATCACATTTTCGCCTCTGTAGCTTTTCCATGAACAGCAATAGAAAAAAATTTTAAATAAAAGTTGTAGCTATTAATTAGACCTTTAATTTGAGCCCAACCACGATCGATTACGTTGATTATTTACCGATAAAAATGCAAAAAACACTCTAAAATTTTTAATTTGACTGGACTATAGGTCTTGCGCTACTACTAGAGCCTCGCGAGCTTTTATTCATTTCGGGGTGATATATGGTGTATACAGTATTTTGCTGCTGCTGCTGTTCGCCAACTTCGAGACGAGAGAGAGATAAATAGAGGAGGAAGGGAAAATGGCATAATTTACGATCGATCCCCTCCGCCCTTCTTTTTTTTTTTTGCTTTGCTTTTTGTTTCAAACAAAGTTTACTGGGTAAAAGAGAGAGACAGACGCGCAGAAAAAAACATCGTAAAACATCCATCACCCCATCTTCGAAAATATCGCACGTACGTTTCTTTTTGCTGCGTCATTTTTTCACTCTTCCACTGAAATCCTCTCCCTCTCTCTCTCTCTCTTTCAGCTGTACGCGTATAGCGAGCTATAGCAATAAAAGAGCAGGCGAAAAAAAAGGATAACGCGAGAAGAAAATCAATTCCCGGTTGCATGCATATATACGTACAGCATCATCCAACGCGATTTTTCCCAGTCCTTTGTGTGTGTGTACGCGTATATAACATCGTCCCGGAGAGCATAAATGGATCTTTGCTAGTGAGAGAGAGAGAGAGATAGAGATTTTCGACCAGAGATATCAAAGAACTCGAGATTTTCTCGTGATTGAACGCTTTTTAACCCGGCTCTAGCCACGCTATACGTATACGGATAAAATGTACTCGCCATTATAATTGACGAGATTACAAAAAAAAAAAAAGAGAAAGAAAAGAGCGTAAAAAAATCGCCCATGGTATTATTTCAACCACACGCGCGGTTCGGTTCAGAGAGCTATATATCCGTGCAGCAAAGAGGAGGAAGAAAAAGGATAGAGAGAGAGAGAAGGATGATTTTGCTGATGTTTCGGAAGGAAAGAAGGATAGAAATGATTCCTTTTATGAGCGACGTGACGAAAGAAAAGCTCGAGGATTATATCCACGCGCGCGCGCGCCTGGAAAGCGCCCATGTTATAATTTTACAGCTTTTTCGCGGGAATTTCTCCCGGCTCTTTTTTATTTTACCTCCTTCGTTGTTCCTCTTTTTTTTTTTTTGCTTTTTTTTTTAATACTTCGGTGCGGCTCTGGAGGGTATGTATGCGCGAAGCGTTACTCGCCTGCTAGGATTGTATAATTTACGGTAACGACAATTCCCAAGAGTGATCGCGAGGCAAGCGCGATTTTGGAGAGAAAAAAAAAGTAATTACGACGTCGTCGATGGATATTTTTTTTCGTTTCATCTTCCATGTATAATTGCGAAATTGTTTTTTTTCTTTCCGTATAACAGTTAATACGAAGCCGCAAGTCGATAGTTGGGGACATTAAAGAGGCAGAGCGATCGTATCGGCTCGTTTTGCACCCAGCCGATAGAAATATAGTCCAGCGCGGGAAAAATTGGCGCGCATAAATAAATAATAAAATCGGCGCCATCGACGTACCTGTTGATGCAGTATAGCCTGGATATCGCGAGGCTTGATTCTCCGCAGTTCCGTGAGCTTTTGCAGTCTCTCCCTGGCACTTCTGCAACACATAAACAAACACATACATACAAAAATACATATTTATATAAATTCTTTCGTATATATACACGTTTAGTCGCGCGCGACCGCTACCATTACCGTAAATATAACACATAAAAGCGGAAGAGTAGAGATAGTCGTAAACAGCGGCGCGAAATCGATTGCTTCTGCTGCGGCGGCCCATCGATGAGCGCAAAATTTAATATAACGAAGGAAAAACTTTTCTCTTCTCTCCCGGCGCGATAAAAGTAGAGAGAGAGAGGGGAATTTTCCTTTCGCAGCTAGACTCTTATGGAGATATATGTATATAATGTTATAATATGTATATATACGCTCTGGTTTTTCTACGTACTCAAGAGTATTATTATCCATTTTAGCCTCCGCGCGCGCGCGCACGCGTATATTATGTATAGCATATACGTATATATTCCGTGAGTGCACCCAAAGTGCAAATAACGGGCTTAAGTATTTTTCATCGGAATTTTCTTCTCGCGCGAGCTAGCTCTGGCTTCTTCTTCCTCCTCCTCTCCTTTTTTTTTATCTCTTTCTCTATGCGCTCGTAAGTATATTAAAAAATAACTCCTTCCCTCGGCGTCGGCGACGACGACGACGACGACGAAGATTGGCGAAATTTTGTAGAAAAAAAAAAGAAAAGAAAAAAAGAAAATTTCACGAGAGCACTAATAATATTCGATTATTATGTGGATCCGCTCGTGAAATCGGTAATTGGATCGCGCACGAGCGAACGTGTATATTATGATATTATTATTATATGTGGAACGAGGGGCAATGTGATAAATTTACCTTTCGACGGCGATGACCCAGGCGTCCTCGATACCTTTGGTGCCCGGCGAATCCAATACTGAAATTAGAAAATAACGAATTCATTATGTTTGCGCGCGGGACATGTTTATTATACCCGATGTAATATTCATAAATAGATCATATGCAGTTGGAATTCGTATATTGCATGTATTATTAATATCAAGCCAAAATTGCATGCGCAGCTGTCTGTATTAACATTTTGATTGGAGAGCAAAACCCAAGAGTTTGATATTTATGTAGGCTGTATTTTTTTTTATTTTTTCTCGACGTTTAGAACCATCGGGTGAATTTTCGTTTAAGGTCAAGGAACAATATTTTCACTTCCCGTCTGTATCTCTCTCTCTCGTTTTCTCCCTCTCGCTAGCTTTCCAACCCCTCGGGGGAAAACTTCGAGTAGTTTTAGTTCTTGCTCTAGTTCGCGCGCGCGTTTCTGTCACTTATATACATAGGTACGTATATATAGAGTATCACCTATAATCTATATTTAAATGTGTGTGCATGTATCCGTACATACATGTGTATGTGTGTGTGTGTTTGCTCACGCATATCGAAATGAAGGGCAGCGGCAGCAAAAAAAAATGTAGAAGAAAAAGATAGCAGCGGTGAGTCAAAAAAAAAGGAGAAAGAGTTTTGTTTGAATTTACATAGTTAAAGAGTTGTACATTACTCAGATATATATACCGCACAGTCGGAATACATTTCAAGCTCCTGCGCTGCGAAGTGAGTCAGAGAGAGAGAGAGAGAGAGAGAGAGAGCTAGAGAAGGAAATATATAGAAAGAGCGAGCGCGGCTTAAAGTCAATTGTTGCCTGTGTGGATTTCGGTCGGCCAAAAGAGAGAGAGAGAGAGAAATATAACGAAGCTGAATATTTTACATGTCCCGAGGCAACAAAAGCTCGTGGCCGCGCGCGCAAGCACACACACACACATACACGAGCTTTATACGTATATATGGTAGCAACAATGGAATTACGATTATACCGATTTAATTTTCCGGTACGGTGGGTTATAATACACATTTAGCAGCATATATATAATAATAATATAAGAGTAGTCGGGTGCACACCACTGCAAAATGAACAGTATAAACGTCACACGATGTTACGAGAGTGTTGTTAGTTCGGGCTGGGGGGAGGGGAGTAGCCATAAGTCAGAGCGCCACACGCACCCACACACAATTAGCGATACCGGCATCGTCGCGAGCAAGAGTAGGAGGAGGAGGCGGAGGATCATCTTCGTCCTCGTCGTCGTCCTCGTCGATGAATTTGATCGAGTCGAGATCGAAGTGCGCCGCCAAATCGAGCGGCTTCACGCCGTTAATCTGCTGCTGTTGTTCCTGTCGATGACGATCCTCTTTTAGGGGAGGACACGACGACGAGACGACGAGGGCGGCCGAGCGCCAACTCGAGACGCTCTGGGCCGTGGGCGATTTGGGCCGCGACGGCGGATACGAGCCGTCCTGGCCGCAGCCGCCGCACCAGGATATCCGATGGAACAGCGAGGACACGCGCGATTTACGACGGCGACTCGCCACCACCGCGAAATCGTCCAGAGTTTTCACCCGGACCATCGTGTGGATGGAGAACGTGGATGATGTCTGCTGCTGCTACTGCTGCTGCTGCTGCTGTGCGTGGATCGACGAGAATTCGAGCGCACCAAGTTTTATGTCGTGTTTTTTGCTTCGCACTTTGTATTATTGGACATCTCCGCACTTGCACTAGCGCTCGCGCGACGACGACGTTCGAAAACAAGAATCAATTTTCATGTCGACGCGTGTTCAGTGGTTGCGCCTCGGCATAAATCCGTGTGTACAAATATTTTATACGCAGAGCTAAATTCATACATCGAGAAAACGAAACAATTAAAAATTAAGAAACGAATGGAGAAAAGGCGCTTTATCCTGGTAGAAAAGCTCAACATCGATATTGCCCTAGTGACCAAAAAAATGTCCATTCAAAATGTTTGGATTATTTTTGGCGATTTTCCTATTTAAAATTATTTTACTAATGTTTAATTCATTGTAAATGATCGGAGAATGAAAATTTAATTGTTTCGAAAAAGATTTAGACCAGCTTTTAAGCACTTCCACTATCATAATAAATATCACTTTGAGATTTCACCACTAGATGGCGAGTACCTTTATGTCTAAATCTACAAGTGGAAAAGTAATGATAATTGCATAAGTAAAATCACGTTTCAAAAAAAGAACATGTGATTTCCATACTTGTGGTGAGTATACGTCCGGTTCTAATGGCTCCTTTATGCCCAAGAAAAGTTTTCGCTGGGCCAAAAACTGGCCATAAAATGTCGAGCATTTCTACTACGACAATACGGCGATCTCTCCAATCGGCAGAGAAAATTGTTCTCTCCAAAGTGTGTAAGGTGTGTCCGATATTGTATATTACGAACCGAGAGCCAGTTCTGCCCGATACGCTACTTAACTAGCTCGAAGAAGGTGTCAAGTTATATATCCGTGGACTGCCTGAGTATGTAGTTGTGTCTCGTGTCTATGTGCGTCTGCGTTTGAGGTCAACAATTTCGCCTCGAGTTATAGAGGTGTGTGTGTGTGTGTGTGTGCCTCGTACGTATAAGGAGAGCAAAAGGGCGGACGAGAGTGAAAGAGCAGGAGAGAGAATCGAACGACTCGAGCTGCTGCTGCTGCTGCAGCAGCACACCGTATTATAACACACCGGAGATAGACTGCTCGAGACACAACATTTATACATTAGTTAGGCCATGCGCCCCGAGACTCGCAGAGAGCTATATAATGCCCACACGACTACTACTACTACGGCTGCTGGTGCAAGTACGACGCGACTGCGACACAACCAAATGCGTGTCTATATCTCTCTATACGTCGGTGTGAATACGGTGAACGAGCAAAGGCTGTGGGGAGAGATACGCACGCGTGTATATTTAGATTATTCACATGTGTATATCACACACACGCACACATTTACACACAGAGCGAGAAACCGGCGCATAAGCAGGCGTTTGATACGTGTGATTTTATATATTATACACATATAGGTACGCGGAGGAAGCGAGTAATCTCTCGAAATAATTCCAAATATTCTGCTACTCTCTCTCTCTCTCTCTCTCTCTCTCTCTCTCTCTCGCAGCTTTATTATATCGTGAAAAGTCGAGCCGCCCCCCGCGATATAATCTCTCTCTCGGCTGATGCAGTTTTAGGCCGGTTCGAGAGTTCGACTATTTCCGTCAAGTTGAACCTCGCGGTATATCGTATTGCTTCCTTTTCTTTTTTTTCGTATATTTATAGAGAAATTGTATTATTAGGACTTTTTCGTGCTCCGATTTTTGATAAGTGCAAAAATGGTTACATAAATCCTCCCTCTCTCTCTTTCTCTCTCTCGGGGCCTTGAGAATATTTATCGAAACCCGTATAATATACGCACGCCAAAAACCAAACCGAGAAAAAGAATAAATTATTAACTCGCTTGGCTGTGCGCTGTACGCACTACTACGTAAGAGATAATGTCGCGGAGAGAAAAAAAAACGACAGAAAGAGAGAGAGAGAGGAGTAACAAAAACATTTATTAAGCGCGTAAAATGTGGTACGGTAGAAGTAGCAGCAGCAGCAGCCAACGCGCGAGTGAACGGGAAAAATATATTATATCCGCAGCTTCGCGCAAAATGCAATTTCGGGATAGTTTTCTAAAGGAAACAGGGAGTGTGTGTGCAGAAGGAGGATGCGGGGGGAGGAGGGTGTCGTAGATGCGTATACGTGTCATTAATCACTCGTGTGCTGCTGCTGCTGCTGCACATGAGAGTAGAGAGACACTTTCATTCAACAACAACAGCAGCAGCAGCAACGCGGACGACTGCAAGTAGACCGAAAAACGTCGACAAACTCTCATTAGCTAAAGGGACTCGTGTGTGTCTGTATATGAGCGTTGCTGCTGCTGCTGCAGCAGTCGTTGTTGCTGTTATTGTCGTTGTCGCGCAGTCGTGTGTTGTTTTGTGTTCGCGAAAATGAATGCGCTCGCGCCAGTCACTCGCGGGGATATGTAGTGTAACGTATATATTATTGTTACATAGTATATGCGTGGTACATACTAGCGAGACAGAAGAAGAAGAAGAACATTTTTCATCGAGAGAAAAATATCGCACACACGTAGACAATAATTTTTGTGTTGTTTCGTTTTGTTTTGCTTTTTTGTGTATCGACGACGACGACGGCTACATCGAGGAGAGAAAAACTAATATTTATAAATGCGCGGCTCCCCCGTGTTTACGCCGGGATATGAAAAGGATTATATCGAACGAAACGATTGTGCATCGTCGAAATATCGCGTGTATACGAACGCGAAAACGAGATGTATAAAAGCTTTTCAATTATCGTCTCTCGCGCGCCCGCGTAATATTTATTATTATCCTATGTACTTCGGGTGGCCCGATTCGTTTCCATTAAATACCAATTTTCGTCGCATTAAGAATCTATAATATACAATGCTGCTGTATACACTTCGACACTGCGCGCGAGTCGCACGCGTAAATTTAAGCACGTAATTATAATGGCACATATACACACAGACACAAGCACGGGGCTCTTTGAATGATTAAAATACACGAAAAATCCTGCACTTTGAAAATTATCGCATCGACTTTTTGATCAATTTATTATGCACATCCTTTTTTTTTTTTCATTCGCACCGACGCACGTGTCACTGTAATAAAAAAAGTATACACGTATTATGCACGCATAGAGAGACGCGTGGTGCACGTGTCGCGTCGCGATTCCGAACTGTCGTCTTATAAGTCGTCGTCGTCTCAGCTAGTTCGCATTAGCCGCAAGAGTTAGGAGACGTCGACGACGACGACGACGACGACTGCTGTACACGCTTTTCGCGGGGATTTATATTTGGAAGCTGTGCTTTCTCTGTCTTTCTCTCTCTCTCATTCTCTCTGTCGGCGCACTAAAAAGTAACACAGCCTCGCGTATAGTTGTATAGCGTACTACTACTACTACTACTACTAGTGGCAAAATAAGTAAGTTCAACGGCACGCGCTGTGCGAG